TAAATAATAAATATAATATTAACCATTATTGTCTGTGGTCTAATGGCATTCTAAATGTTTCTCTATCCAAGTGGAATAATAAGTTTATGGAGTATGAATACATGTATTACATTTTTTCAATTTTTAATTTGTATGGATACATGGTAGGTGTATATACCGGTACATGAGATGTTTTGAAACAGGCACGCAATGTAAAATAGTTACATCATGGAGAATGGGGTATTCATCCTCTCAAGCATTTATCCTTTGTTTTATAAACAATCCAATTAAACTATTTTAGTTATTTTAAAGTGCACATTTATTAACGACTATAGTTACCCTATTGTGCTATCAAATAGTAGGTCTTATTCATTCTTTCTAATGGTATTTTGTACCCATTAACAATCCCCTACTTCTCCCCAAACTCCACTACCCTTCCTAGCCTCTTGCAACAACATGGATGGAACTGGAGGTCATTATGTTAAGTGAAATAAGCAAGGCACAGAAAGACAAACATTATGTGTTCTCACTTACTTGTGGGACCTAAAAATCAAAACAAATGAACCCATGGACATAGAGACTAGATGGGTGGTTATTTTTTAATTAATCTTTATTTGTCATGATAATCATCAAACACTATCACAATTTCAAAGAATAAGAAGTGAGTCAGCAACTTCTTAATTCCTGTACAAACCACACTAGTTTTCTACTTGTGAATTTCCACTATAATTAAATTGTTTGACTGATAATATTTTTCCTTAATGCTTTGTTTTCTTGACAAAATACATTTACATGGCAAGTAAAGGAGAACATTCAAATTTAAAACTATTATCAGACACTGAAACATTTTATTTTAACCTAATGGAGACTATGAAGTTTCAAATTTAATATATCAAGATAAATTCATCAAAGCTTTTTGAGTGTTAATTTATTGTACATGGTACTACACACATTTCCAGTGCTTAAATTTCTTCTGTAGTATAAGATATGGTTACCATAATCTCAGTATGTATTCTGAATGACTTATTAGCCAATTAAGAATGTTAGGGTAACAACTGAAAGGATAATAGTTCAATAATATTTTGAAGCAACTATAATATGCCAGGAATACAAATAACTCTGCTAATCTTCTTTTCTCCAGGTGGCGTTTCCTGACACATCTCAAACTAATTCAGAATAAAATAAATTGTGCAATATGCCTGTAGGGAACAAAGCTAAGCAAACCCAGAGTTACAAGGAAAGATCATGGAATTTTACAGAAAGCATACTATCCTATCATGAGGCAATTCATATTCCTAGCTACAATGTTCAGTAAGCAAGAGATTCTACGAACAAAGAGGGGTTCAACCCAGGTTAGCCTCATTAGTCTATGATAAGAGGCAGCAACAAGTTAATATAATGCAATACCAGAGAGAAGTTCAGCACTGAGCCCAATTTGAGATGAAAGTCCTAAAATAGGAAGATTTCTGAAGAATACTTAATGCTGAATTAATGGATGGATCCATTACTGGAGGCAGTCAGCATGTTAAGCACCTCTGAGGATAACAGATAAATTATCGCTATATGTCACTGCAGCAGAAGTGAGATGTCAGGTTAGACTTCACAGTGCTGTAGTCAGTTCATTGGATGGAGAATGTTTGCTTTACACAAGGGAGGGGGATGTGAGAATTTTGCACACAGTATCCCCAGCTTGTGCTGCATGGCGTGTTAGGCATTGCAAAAGATTCCATGGGGGAATTTAGAGAAATGAGACACTCAGTCATTCTGAATTTAGAGAATCTAAGTTTAAAATGTGTAATTTATAAATGATAAAAGCTGAGCAGAATGTACCACCACAATGCAGTATGACTTTGTGAAAAGCACCTGTTTGAGGGTGGAAGAAAAAGTCCAGAGTAAAAAGCGATGGCTGGATAATAGAAGTCTGGTGTGGCATATATAGAGTGCTGCTAGTCCAGGAGCAGCCCACTCTCCCAATATGACAGCCACTGTCAAGACTGGTAAAGAGTGGAGCTATAACCCAGGCTGTTGGAACAGCCCAGATAAAATAACTGGTAACTTGCGGTTAAATTGAGAGAGAAGGAGAACTGATGAGACGTGTCTCACAACACAGAGTAACTTTTTACTTGAACATGAACTGGCTGAAGAATTATCTAAAAAAAACTTTCCACCTAGACAACACAGATCCTAGTGATAGAGAGCAGCCTCATCTACATAGAACTTTGCAGGGTGAACGACTGTCACAGTTCACCCGAGAACTGGGGAGGGAGGTTGTTTCCAGGATGAAGGACTTTCAGCTAAAGTTGGCAAGAGTTGATCACCCCACTCCCTGTACCACCCAGGTCCCTGTGCCAGTCTTGCATTTTAGGGACCCTACTTTAGCCCTCCTCCAGTCATGCCCTTGCCTATGGTACCAAAAGGCCTCACAGGAAAAGGTGATGTGTCCACTTAGAACCCTTTCCCCTCTAGTTCACTACCAGCATCCAGAATTTCCAGTCCGAAACCCCTAAATGGGCCTCTTGGAAGATGGATCTCCTTAACCTGCTTCTGGAAGCACAAGGCTGGGAAGTGCAGGGCAGAGTTTGGCAGCAGGCCTTTTGCTGTCATTTGGCTCCTTGCTTCCAGTCCTGGAACTGTTAGGGTGGCCTGGATTTTGCAGGGCTTGTATTTAATGACCAATAGAATCTCACGCCAAGGTCAAGCATATTCTGATGTGAAAGAACACCGATTGAAAAAATGATTGAATAAACAGAGATACCTAAGCAAACTTGAGATTTGTAATTTTTTTTAAGAAAGCCCTGAAGTTGGAATTTTACTGTGGAAACTCTTACAATATATTATTTAGAAACACCTTAATATATGTAAAATTATAATAAACATGAAGGAAGAATAAAACCCAAATTCAGGACAGCATTTACATGGGAGATCAAAAGATATGATGCAAGAGACAGACACGCATTGATCACATTTCTTTAGCAGAGGGACACATGGGTAGGTGTACACTTAAGAAAAATGGTTAGTAATCTTTAAAATGTATATATGATGTAAGGTGTGAACAATAGAGGAAACTGGATGTGCGGTGTGCAGGAACTCTCTGTATCTTTGCAATTTTTCTGTAAATCTAAAACTATTCAAAAATGTTTTTTAAAAACATGATGTATATCATATGTATCATAATAAAAACAAGCAAAATTACAGAGTACATGTGCAATATATTTCACTATAAAGTAACATTACAGTATGAATAAAAGCAATCACTAGAGTAAACATTTATATAAACTAGCTAGGCATTGTTAAACCTGAACATGAAGGACATAAAATATGTGAAGAATGACGATTCTATTTTCATGATTTACAAACAATTTTATCCAGTCTTTTATTTTGCATCATTTAACAATATGCCTATTTTTTCCCTTATCTCTTTTAGTGCTTCTAAATCTTTTCCTTTGAAGTGAAAGCTCTTGGTTAAGTTGTTCTACATATCTTACTATTTATTAAAAGAATGTGTTACTACGGATAGCCATAAAATCAATCATATATTCCAAAAGGTTTTATAAGTAGCCCGGTTTAAACATCTCAGTAAAGGAAGCGATTATGTATTTTCAGATTGTTGGCCCTAAGCAGCCTTTCACAATAATGGATTATGTAGCAGTTTTTTTTGTTTGTTCTTTTGCTTTTAGAATCCTGTAAATTGATTCATGGACTGTGTGCTCACTGTCAATACTTAGAAAATAATTTGTATTTTATTAGTGAATAATAAAGACTGGGCTACCTCTATCGAATTCAAAAATGATTCCAGATACAAGCAATTATTAAAATGTAACATAACAATGACAAAACAACGCTAACATAAGCAACACCTCAACATGATTAGAAGTGAGTCTTACTGCTGGCAGTTTTAAAACATCGCATTTCTAATGGAAAAGAACATTTGTTTCAATTTTCCAGTGATAAAAATTCGTTTCCATTTTTTGGGTTTTCTTTTCCAAGCTTTTAGTTCAAACAAACATCTACAGGGCAGGTGGACACTTCATTTGTTTTGTTCTCTAAGGGAGATGAACTGCTGTCAAAGGCTGATGCCCTGATTTCATCAAATGTATCAGTGCATTATGCTTAACAAGGAGAAGACGTTGCTGGGGCTGATTAAGTTAAATTATCTGTCCTTTGGCATAATATTGTCCTTCTGTACTGGACAGTAGGGAAGCAATAAGGATGCTCTGAAGGAGCTAAGAGGCATAATCAAGAAAATACTGCAATTAAATCAGCCCATAAAATCAGAAGACATATAAGGATCATTTAACATTAGGAAAATATAACAAGGTTTGGATATAAAAACCGAAGAGGATGGCCTACTCAAAATCAATCTCATTATAGAAACTGTAAACAGAAGTAACTCCACCTTGCGGAAATGTATTTCAGGTCAGAATTTTTCGACTTGATCCACCCAAAATTTCCCTGATCAAAGACAGTGAAAAATTATTCCTTAGTATTCACATTGGTTAAAACATGATGACTTCACCAAGACACGGGGGCACTAATGCAAATATGGTTCAGTTGCTCATAGAGCCTGGTGCCTATTCTTACCTCCAAAGTAATAGGTGCCATCTGAATAAATCTGCTCAGGCCCCAGCGGAGGAGCAGCAGAAGCCAACTGGCCATCCACCGCCACACTCAAGTGATTCTTTTTAGCAGATAAAGAGACAGAATGCCACTGCCCATCATTTAATCCGACACCTGGGGAGATGAAATCAGTTAGAGGTCTCTCTCAATAGTGAGCACTATAAGGAGTTGGTTAGAAACAGCAATATACAGATCACTCAATTGGCTATAGTTCTTAACTCTATTAATTAAACACAATCACATCAACAAGGAAAGGGAGACAAATGCGAAATCAACATCCTCTGTGTGGAAATGGGGCATTCCCAATTCCCAATCCTGGACAATCCTGGATGGTTAAAATATTTCAATTATTTGTCATAGATTGATTTTAGCTTCCATCTATGTAATTTCCTTCTTAGGGAGGAAGGATTTAGGAATTTCCAAAATTCAAACATATACCCAATAAAATGGTTTACCTGCTACTTTATACTTTTTTGATAACCACCTTTTTATAGTAGGATAATAGAATATTTAGCAAACTATACCATCAATCACTACAACAATATTGGAATAAACAATTAATAAATAGTGAAAGTCTACAGGTATAACGTAAAGTTAAAAATAACGCACTGTGAAAAAGCCATGTATATGCAATTGATCCTCGTAATTTGTAGGTTTTATATTTGAGAATTTGCTTCCTTACTAGAACTTACTTATAACTCTCAAATCAATATCTGAAGGGGCATTCTCAGTCATTTGAGGACATGTATAGAGCGGTAAAAATCTTGAGCAGCCCTGTCCACATTTCCTGCTGAGGTCAAACAGGGTAATGCTCTCCCTTATTGCTTTAGCTCTCATACTGTAAATCACATTTTCTTTAAATTTTTGTAAGTTTGTTCATGATTTCACTGTTTAAAGTGGCCCCCAAACATCATGCTCAAGTGTTGACTAGCATTCCTAAGAGCAAGAAGGCTGTGATGTGTCTCTTGGAGAAAATACATGTGTTAGATAAGTTTCATTCAGGCATGAGTTATGGTGCTGTTGGCCATAAGTCCAATGTTAATGAGCCAACAACATTATACTAAAGAAGACGTCCTTAAACAGAAACACACATAAAACAAGATTATGTATTGACTGGTTGAGAAAATGTGACAGAGGCTCCCAGGAACCTCACCCTGTTATTTCCCCCAGGAGCAAAGGTTCAGTATTCCCTAATTCAGTGTTCACAGACTTTTGAGAACTTAACTATAATAAACAATGAGAATAAACTCTCTCTATATTTATATACAATTCTAACTATATTCTTTTTTTTTATTTGTTTGTTTGTTTTTTGAGACGGAGTCTCACTCTATCACCCAGGCTGGAGTGCAGTGGCGCGATCTCGGCTCACTGCAAGCTCCGCCTCCTGGGTTCATGCCATTCTCCTGACTCAGCCCCCCTGCCCGCCACCACAGCCGGTTAATTCTTTTTGCATTTTTAGTAGAGACGGGTTTTCACCATGTTAGCCAGGATGGTCTCGATCTCCTGACCTCGTGATCTGCCCACCTTGGCTTCCCAAAGTGCTGGGATTACAGGCATGAGCCACCGTGTCCGGCTCTAACTATATTCTTATGTAAGTATGGGAAGGGACTGAACAGATATGTTCTTACATAGAAACAGTAGTTTTTGGCCAGGTGCGGTGGCTTATGCCTGTAATCTCAGCACTTTGGGAGGCTGAGGCAGGCGGATCACCTGAGGTCGGGAGTTAGAGACCAGTCTGACCAACATGGAGAAACCCTGTCTCTACCAAAAATATAAAAAATCAGGCGGGCATAGTGGAACATGCCTGTGATCCCAGCTACTGGGGAGTTTGAGGCAGGAGAATTGCTTGAACCCAGGAGGCAGAGGTTGCAGTGAGCTGAGATTGCACCATTGCACTCCAGCCTGGGCAAAAAAAAAAGAAAGAAAGAAACAGGTTTTTTTATGAAGGAGAAATGTGATTGTTTCTATTTACTTACATACTTTCCTGTATTTTCCAAGTTCATATATATGTATATATGTATAAAGTCAAAAGTTGCTAAAATCAAAAATCGAGATATTCTTATCACCTCTAAAACGCAATCTCTAGTCCCTCCTAAGGAAGCCCCAGTATCATGAATCCATCAGAATGCATAGACTTTTCCTCTTAGAGGCAATCGATTCTACAAGGAGCTCTGTAGTTAAATATTGAGCAGAGATGTGAAATCTAAGCGTCTTTGTCATGAATTTACCAGTCAGGTTTACTATTCATTTGAATAGTCAACTCTGTGTGATTCTGCAGATCAAATTAGTAAACAAAAAATAAAAGCAATCTATCAAACCCAAACAGCCTGTTTTCTGATATTGCATGTGATTTCTTTACTGATTTTATGTAAACCCCTTTTCTGATATATGTGATTTATTTCCCCGAGCAATTTCTACCACATGCATTTGGATCAAAAATGCATCATAGCTGCCTTAGGTGATTACATGTCTTTGCTCTGGACGTATTTAGTTTAACACAAATTTTAGCCAGGGCACAGAAGCTCACTTTTACATCACATCCATGAAGCAAAAAAGATTATCGAAGACCCAACTCTGGTTTGGTTTGTGAAAGATAATAGGAGAGGCCTGAAAACTGGAATAGGAAGAATGTAGGTTAGATACTTTTAGACACATTTTCTAAGAGTGGACTCTGAAATAGACAGCTGAATAGTTATGTAATCCTTGATGGTACAGGACTGGATTAAAATAAATCAGATGTCCTAGATTTGTCATCCAGTGCTTCCTTTAAGATAGATTTCACTCATTTAGAGAGAACTTTCTTATATACTCTCTGTGTCATATGTACAGACCCTTCCCAGTCTACCACTTGCCCCTGGCATTTCTCCTACATCTCATTTCCAAAGCCCTGTGTGCAAGACTCTACTTCTCTTATTTCATTTCAGACTTTCCATTGGTGTCCAACAGTTCTTCTCAAACTATCTGTGGGGATGAACATTTTATTTTCTGATCTATTACAAATTGAAACTTTTATAAAATATGATGAAAATAAATTACTAAAAAAATAGATTTTGGCAAGGCTGCAGAAAAAAAGGGGGAATGCTTGTACATTGTTGGTGGAACTGTAGATGAGTTCAGCTTCTGTGGAAAGCAGTTTGGAGATTTCTCAAAGAACTAAAAATAGAATTACTCTTTGACCCAGCAATCCCATTACTGGATCTATACCCTAAGGAAAATAAATCATTCTACCAAAAATAGGGGTCCCCAATCCCCAGGGTAATGGACCGATACTGGGTCTGTGGCCTGTTAGGAACCGGATCACACAGCAGAAGGTGAGTGGCTGGCAGGCAAGTGAAGCTTCATCTGTATTTACAGCTGCTCCTATCACTTGCATTACTGCCTGGGCTCTGCCTCCTATCAGATCAGTGGCAGCATTAGATTCTCCTGGGAGTTCGAACCCTATTGTGAACTGCACATGTGAAGGATCTAGGCTGCACACTCTTTTTGAGAATCTAATGCTTGATGGTCACTGTCTCGCATCACCCCCAGATGAGTCCACCTAGCTGCAGGAAAACAAGCTCAGGGCTCCCAGTGATTCCACATTATGATGAGTTGTATAATTATTTCACTATATATTACAATAATAACAGAAATAAAGTACACAATAAATTTAATGTGCTGGAATCATCCTGAAACCATCCCCCTACATTACAGTCCATAGAAAAATTGTCTTTCATGAAAACAGTCCCTGGTGCTAAAAAGCTTGAGGACTGCTGACCAAAAAAATGCCTGCACTTACATATTTACTGCAGTTATTATTTACAATAGCAAAGACATGGAATCAACCTAAGTGCCCATCAATGACGGATTGGATTGGATAAAGACAATGTGGCATATAGACATCACAGAATATTATGTAGCAATAAAAAAGAATGAAATAACATTGTTTGCAGCAACATGTTTGCAGCAACATAGATGCAGCTGAAGATTATTATCCTAAGTGAATTAACGCAAAAACAGAAAACCAAATACAGAATGTTCTCACTTATAAGTAGGGGCTAATCCCTGGGTACACACGGTCATACAGATGGGAACAACAGGCACTGGGGACTTCAGAAGGGAAGAGGGCATGGGGCAAGAATTTAAAAACTACCTATCAGGTACCATGTTCACTATTTGGGTAATGGATTCAATTGAAGCCCAAATCTCAGCACCATGCAATATGCCCATGTAACAAGGTGCACTTGTACCCCCAAATCAAAAATTTTAAAACATAAAATAAAATAATAACAAATAAATAAATAAATAAAAGGTAAAATACAAGCCCACTAACCATGTGCTTAGATATTGCAGTGATCTCTTTTTACCAGTTTCTAGGAGTTTAATCTCAATTTTTACATTCATCTCATCGTAGATCAGTTAAAAGTATTTCACTGAGCCAGTGCTGGTCCAGGGACCACACTTTGAGTAGCAGGGCTCTGGGCAGTTATTGGTTAGGCATGCAACAGGATTAACCAAAAGGCTTGGGGAGGGCTATTGTCCATATAGAAGCAAAAAATAGATTAAGAACAAAACACTGCCAGAGCAACCCACTGTGTAATTTGGCACACATTCAAACACATTCATCTAACAAGTTAGCAGGTTACAGGTTGTGAACAAAGTTGTGCTGTGTTTGTGGGGGAACCTTCAGACAGCTTTTCCCAAGCGTCCTTTGTAACAAACATTATTTACCTATGATGAGGAGACTTAATACCTGTCAGCTGGAATATATTACTCCAATCACAAAAGGTCCCATTAACTCATTTCAACTAACTCTACCTAATTTAAAATTAGATTCTAATTGTTTTGTAAGGATACAACTTTCCATTACTGGCTCTGATAATAGGATGGCCCCTTTCAAGGGCCACACCACTGTGAAACAGGAAAGAGAAAGAAAAATCATAGAATTTCAATTTGTTTTCTTGTTTCTGACATTTTGTAACTGAATGAAAATTCTGTGCACCAGTCCCACTACTCAGAACTTTTAAGTCTGGGAAGGAACACGTTGTCATAATAATAAAATAATAATTTTACTGAGGTATTACTTATAACAAATACTGGGAGCTTTCTATGCATAGTATCATTTAATCTTCACTATAACTATTATTATTTTCATCTTAAATAAGGAGAAAATGAGACTCAGAGAGGAAAAGAAACTACGGAGGTCATATCCAGTTGCTGGATGGCTGAAGGAAAACAGAAAACCAAGACCGACTCCAAAATCTACACTCTGCCCTGTCTGCAAGATAGGTGTGTCCCTTATTTTATTTTATTTTTTATTTTTTGCTCATGTTAAACAATTAACTCTAAGAAAAATAGGCCCCAACAGCTAGGACATGGCCTGGTACCATCAGTGAGACCTTGGTGTTGTAAGAATCTGGCTAGCACTGAGGGCTAGGCTTTGGTGTTCTTCTGTTGAACGTCAACAATAACACAGAACACCAACATCAGACAAGGTCATTCTATGACTATAATGAAATGAAGGTGGGGAAAAGTCACGACTACTTTATAATCTTGTCTAAACACAGACAGAAGCAAGGCTCCTGCACAAACCACAAAACACAAACTTCTCTCTCTCCCAATACTTATGAATGACCAATTGTTTTGTTTTGTATTTACCAATTACAACTTAAGACTTACTTCATTCCTTCATTCTTCTAGATAAGGTTTACAAAGATATCTAATCGTAGAATTACCCTCACTTCCTGACAGCATTTCGTCTACAGCAATTTTTCACTTCCTTGAAACCTCCCTCAAATCAGCTAACACAACCCCAAATCCTATGTCATCCTAACACCTTTGTCTTCACACAACCCTCGGTTTCCAGGGTGTGTTCTCTCTGTTGCAATAAGCAATAAATTCAACTTGTTTAACTCCAGATATGTTCATTGCAGTCTTTAGATGGAAAACATTGACAATGCCAATTGGAATAATGGAAGGATGGAATAGTAAATGGAAGTGTTTGCAATTGCAGGTTGGAGAGGATAAGATTATGGACTAGAACGTTCTCTCTCTCTTTCTCTTTCTGTTGCTCTCTTTGTTCTGTCTTTCAGCCTAAATCACATAAACACACAAAACACAGCAGGAGAGGGAAGATTTACATCTACTCCCTCTCTATAGATCATCTTCTAGTTCCAGTCCTAAATTGCATCAGAAACATGAGAGCTTAGTTGTCATCACCCTCTCATAAGACTACAACGCACATCTATAGCACACGATGTATAACAAAAAAATCATCCTGCCATATAGGGTAGGAGTTCTGCAAAGTTGCAAAAGGCAATTATACCTAGACCATTCCTTAGGGAAACACCAAAGGGTGTGGCCTCTTTCCAGCTGTATTTCAGCACTCTAAAGTGCCAGACATTCTTATACCCACTAACTGTAGTCACTAACCAGAATTAAGGATCCAGATCACTAGATAGCCCTTGCCAAGATGAAAATATGGAGGTGGTTGGTACCCATCACTTTGGTGGAGAGCAAGAGTTTAAGGGGAGACAGGTGTATAGCCCAAAAGTTAGGAATATTTCAACAGTGAAAGGGAGGAAGGGGGATTGACAAAAATGGCTCTCCTGGGTGCAGCAAATCAAAGGGTCTGCTCCACTCTCAGGGGCACAAGAACCAAGAATGCTTAGTAATAGAAAAATGCAGAAACATCTTAAATATTGCAAGCCTGCCTCTGCCAGGCCCTGCCCATGGGGACAAGATGAATGGTTATAATCCTGATTTTCACTGTTAGACAAAAACAGCAGCAGAAATGCTAAAATCATACCAGAAATCTCAAATTTGATATTAAAAACTTTGTTTTACATAGGAACATAAAACTGTACTGTTCACTGATTTTTACTTTGACATCTATAAAGGTGGCAATGACTAAAAATATTTTGTGTCATAAGGGATTTTATAGTGCTGCTAATATGTTTTATGATTTATACTAATATAATGTGAGTATTTCAAAAATGATTTAAGCTGACATAATATTTTTGAATAATTCCAAATGACAATTTGCAAAACTGTACATATTAAAAATTTAGTCTGATAACTCAAACATTTGCACAATTCAGTTCTGTCTCAATACAATTTCATCTTAATTTCATTGTAAAATATATTAAAATGCTGAGTTTTTCGTAAAATGTATCTCCAGAAGCTAAGAAAAATTAATCAATCCTTATATAATGCAAAGATTTAGTACAACGTGATAGCAATCCATCAGTAAAGACGTGGTTCTCTTGAAACTCATTATAATACATCCTGACAACTGGTTTAATTATCAAGCATTGCATACGTGAAACATAAGAGGAAAGTCTTCCCCTTGGGAGAACAAACTGACCACCCACACAGCTACCATTTAAGTGGTCTATTTTCCAACGCAGAATGTACTTGCTTCAGGGGAACTAGCAAAAAATAATATCGTGAAAGAAACAGAAAAAAAAGGGTAGAGAGAGTTTTTAAGTAAAATCTTACTTGTGTTATCTTCAGTGTACTGACATTCAGATTTAGTCTAGTATCCTTATGATTAGTATGAAAATAATCATACAAAGTCAGATGATGTCATAACAGATTATATTGTATATGAATTTAAACATTCACTTAGAAATGTTTAAATCCCATGGGGTATTCTATACGACTTATACCTAGTAATATATTAACTATACACGCTTGTAAAGTGGTTAGAAATGGGCTGGCTTCAGCCTGATCAACATGGAGAAACCCCGTCTCTATTAAAAAATACCAAATTAGCTGGGTGTGGTGGTACATGCCTATAATTCCAGCTATTTGGGAGGCTGAGGCAGGAGAATCGCTTGAACCCGGGAGGCGGAGGTTGTGGTGAGCTGAGATTGCACCACTGCACTCCAGCCTGGGCAATAAGAGCGAAACTCCATCTCAGAAAAAAGAAGAAACAGGAAGAAAAAAGAAATAGGCTGGCTTCATGGAGCTCACCACAGTAACGTTGCACTGAAGTGATTTCTTTAAGATGCTGAAAATTAGGGTATGAATATAACCACTTCAGAAGATGTCAAATACATCACAATAAATGACACATTAATGGCAAGCTTACATTTTTAGACTTTCATTTTCAGGGCCTATTAATTATTAATACGAGACTGATTAATTTATTTCTTTTTGTCTAGCCAGCAAATCTACCACATTTTGAACATTAAACAAAAAGTCACAGCGTAGTATCTCTTTGAAAATTATAACTAATATTGAATTCTCAGTTCCATATTTAAACTAAAATAGTAGTACAGCAACAAAAAGATATATAAAGAATAGGCATTTGTATATCCATTTGTACACTTATTTTCTCATATTTAATTTCCAAATTTATTTTAACTTTTCCTTTTTTTCTCCTCTTTAAGTCACATTCCACTATTTTTTGGTCATAGTTAATATAGAGGAGTAGTACAATGGAATCTTTAAGTTGTTTTTAAAGATCATTTATTAAATTAATGTAGTAATTTACCCCAAGGTAACCTCTAGTTGCTTGGCTTGGATGCTATTGTACATACGTAAAAATGTGATGCAGAGCTTTTGTCAACAACTATATAATTTTAATGAAGAGACAAAAATATTCCTCACTCAAAGCACTGACCTAAATTAGACATTCATTTTCCAGACACTCATATAGTCACCTTAATCATATTACTTCTAATCATTAAAACAATACCGTATTGCCTACAAGTAGAAGAATTCCATTTGGTGCCCAAATGAGGAATCTTTCATAACTCTTTGCATCCCCCCAAAATGTATTCAACTCTTTACATAAAATATCAGCAAATAAAGTTACCATTCACACTGTACACTCATATACAGATATAGATATAGATCCCAGAAAGACCTCTCCGTTTCTCTCACAGACCAGATAAGACTAATAGGTGTGTTAGGAAGAGTCTAGTTTTCCACTGAGGGACACTTAGTTAACTTGTTGGCCTATTTCGAGGTCTTCAAGTTTTCCCCAAAACATGTCACCTTAGGATATGTTCTTTGCCTGGAGTAGGAGACAGGGTCACGAAAGGAAACTTCAGTTCCCCCAAAACTATCATTTTGGTTAATAAGAACTGCTAGTATTGGAACCATATTTAAAAGAAAATTGGAATCAAGTTCCTCTAAGGAAGAGTACTTATAATCTTATTAACCCGAGTATTCATTTATTAAGCAAACATGAAATTTTCGGTTATGCATAAAATTTGGCCACAGAGATAATGGAATCTTTCAAATCCATATGCTTTGCCCTGGGGAATACATTTATTACCTGCTGTGATATCACTGGGTAATTTTCCTGGCTGGTAGAGATTCAACTTCAGTTTTCCATCACTCAGAGAGAGGAGGATACTCCCTGAAACCAGCTGAAGTTCGCTGAATAGCAGAAGCCCTGCCTTATTCCAAGTTCGAAATTGAAAAGTGGCAGAAACCTCTTCCTCTCCAGAGAAGTCTGGCAGCGCTAAATAACTCCGGGAGCTCAGAAAAGTCACGGGCATAGACTGTGGTTGTGAACAAGAAAATGACACATTTCCCTGAGAAGAAAGTCAAAGAGAAAGCTTTCAGAATGTTATTCACATCGCATTAGTAACAGAATTTGAAGGCTGCTTTTCCATCTCACATTTTCCACAATTTAAAACAACTGCCTGCTATCAACATGACAATTCAAATCACTGCCATATTTCTGAAAGGTTCTTCAACCCTTTGCTCTGCTCTTCTCTCCATTTCTCAACTTTAATATAAATTTAAAAGTCAATGAAGTCAAGCTTATTTAGAAGAACACACATTGGCATAAAACATTTGGTCGTGGTCAAACGAAAACATTTCGCTCTATTATGAATCTGTGAAAAGTGAACTCACTTTTATTATAAACGAATACATTGTTCCAATGAATGAAATAACAAAAGCTGAACAGCAAACTACACTAACCAACATGCTACCCTATAATGTAAAGGCAATGATAAGACTATCAAATCTAGGAAAAAAAATTGGAAACATTTTTACCAGTTGCATCTTGGTCTTTTTTTTTCTTAGTGATACATAATAGTTGTACATATCTATGAGACATATGATATTTTGCTGCACGTACATAATGTGTAATGAGCAAATCAGTATAATTGAGATGTCCATCATTTCAAACGTTTATCTTTTCTTTGTGTTGAGAACATTACAAAACTTATCTTGTAGCTATTTTGAAACATACTATAATTCCTTATAAACTATAGACGTCCTACTGTGCTATTGAAAACTAGAATCTTTTGCCCCTCTTCTTTCTAATCGTATTTTTGTACCCATTAAGCGGCAGCTTGATCTTATGCATCATTCGGATAGCTGCCTGATACCTTACCAGCAGCAAGCCCTCTTGCCAATGAAGAGTGAATGGTCCTTGCAGTTTCTAGAAAGTCGTTTTAAGGATAAAACACACACACACACACACACACACACACACACACACACCTATCTAAAATATTTTTATTTTTATTTTAAATAATTTCCCTTTTGTAAAAAAACAACTATTTTAAAATCTTGCTGGCTGTTACGGTCATATAAATACCACCAATGTACATAATTAGAAATAAAATGCTATGTAAACAATAAATACACTTATGATGTGCTTTGGGATTTGCTGACAAGTGAACTTAAACTTACGTACTTTGGATTTTAAGCAATGAAAGAAATTCATTCAGATCAATATGTATCGGCTTTTTATTATCAAACTGGTTAAGCTAGAAACCATGTTTCCCAGAATCCCCTTACTTGTCTGCTTCTGAGTAAAACCCAAAAAAAGAGAGCTTGGGTGATATTTGACAGTTAGAATTAAAACACCAGCAACACATTTTGTCGCAAAGGTTTTTTTGTAATCATGTGCGATGAGGGGTGGTCATGAAGCGGCTGGTTTGTTCCAGCCTGTCCGTGCTCTCCTGCACTGTGGCCCATCTCTTCTTCCTCACAGCTGGCCCTGCCGACGAACAGCAAGCTCAGGCCCATCCCCAGAAGCATGGCTGGGGACACACACGGGTGGTGGCTACCCACAGGCAACAACTGCCAAAGTTCTCTTCAACCCTCCTAGGCTGAAAATGTCCGTAAGTTTCAACATGCCTCCACACACCATTGCTTTGGGCAGAATTAATGATTTCTCTGAATCCTGCACTTCCCCTGCCAGGCCATTCACTTTGTAGCTCCTCTGAAAACTGTGAAGGTCCAAGTCCTAATACAGATCCACTGTTCACAATACTTACGTTGGTGCTGCTTCCCTAACTGAAACCTAACCAAGAGAGTTATATTTAAATTCTCCCCGTTTCCATAGAATTAGAATATAATACAGTCTGACCAACATTGCCATTTGGACAGATTGGCAGATGCAATATTGTAACATATCCTATATTTGCTTGTGGTAGTAAGACCTCTTGGTGCAGATTTCCTACATGTGGTATTTCTTATATGCTGTTGTCTATTCGTCTCTTTTATTTATCATGAATGACTATGGCAAAATACAAGTTTTTCAAATGTCTCCCTAATATACATGAATGTTATCTGATTCCAGAAACTCTGTATGCTCATCTGGTAAGTTTGTCAGGGAATATATTATTTAAAAATTCACAGAGCAGGATGGGCATAGTGGCTCATGCCTGTAATCCTAGCACTTTGGGAGGCTGAGGCGGGCAGATCACCTGAGGTCAGGAGTTCGAGACCAGCCTGGCCAACATGGAAAAACCCTGTCTCTGCAAAATACACAAAAAATTAGCCAGGTGTGGTGGCAGTCACCTGTAGTCCCAGCTACTCGGGAGGCTGAGGTAGGAGAATCGCTTAAATCTGGGAGGCGAAGGCTGCAGTGAGCTGAGATCATGCCACCGCACCCCAGCCTGGGTGACAGAGTGAGACTTTGTCTCAAAAAAGAAAAAAAAAAAAACAAATCAAAAGAAATTAGACTCCTGTGAGTAATGACATCACAACAAAATTAAAATATCAACCATAAAAACACCGCTTTACTTCATATAAAAATAAAATAATTATGCCCCCAAAATTACAATTCCTTCAGATAGAATCAATCTTTTATATGCATATTAATCAAAGAAAAATATTTAAATAGGAGTAACCTCTAAAACATCATGTCAAATGGGAACCTAAAATGGAGCAATTTTACTGTGCAGTAAAAAGAAATATAGTTTTACTAATGTCTTCGTGTAAAGACTCTTACCAAAGCAATGATCTGTGGTTTTTGCTGCTTGGCCAAATCAATGATATCCACTCCATTATAATAGAGATTTTCTAAACATCCATGAAAATTTCTGTGTGGGAATGACACTGATTTTCCAGGTGCTGGAATCCCTCCAAAGCTGATCTTAGAAAGAAAAATGGCATCAATAATATTGTTTAGTGATTTTCTAACAAACTGCTTAATTATGATTAGCATGTATAGCCATAATCATCACACATAGATCAATTTTTCATAACCCTACACACACAAAAATTAAGATACAGATTTAAAGCAAATGTATGTGCATTTGGCTCTTATTTACACTGGAACTTTATTTTTACAAGTTGCTGATCACATCTCGCTTTGATATTCATTGGTTGATGAAAAATACATCTTTATATCATGGTAAAACTTGATCTGTTTAATACCATAACCAATCATAATATTTTATTTTAGATATGTTTCCGGCACATATTGATACTTGTGCATTCGAATCCATTGCTAATGAAATAATTAATTAGTTTGTTGCTACATTCTCCTCATAAATCTATACTGCTCACAAATACCCTAGAACACAAAGAAGTCATAGCAAACATCCTATATTTGCTTGTGGTAATAAGATTCTTGGTGCAGAATATTTCCTACATATGATGTTCTGTGACTACATAGTTTAGGCAAAAAAGATCACCTCCCTCGACAACAATCAACTTACATACTGTGGGAAAGATGAACGTACAAGTACTATACACCGAAAGTTGCTACTGTGAGTTAGACTGTCTTGGGAAATGCTTCACCTGTTCTACGATTTACTGAAAAGGTGGGTTCTTTATAGTGTACTTGCCTTTGGGAGATTAAACCACATATACATAATAAAATCAGCATTAATTGAAACATAACCATCACACCTCATAATCAAGATTCACGAAATTGAATTCTCCCTGTGCGTGGAAATGATGCCTGTGTTCGTCCACTGTGAAGTTGACTTGTTTGCCCAAACGCTGGATGAGCACTGAATGCCAATGCTGATCATCTAGCAGGCTGCCCAGGGTGAGATTGACCAGGGTGGAAGTGGTAGGCAGTTTAGCTTCACCTTAGAAGAGGAGAAAAATAACAGCACCATTATTGCCACTTTAAAGATTAAAAAAAAAAGTTTCCCTTCTGTGGACCAGCATCTTTCATAATAATTGCAATCTTCTATGCATTCCTTTTCGAACACTAGGATGGATTTCCCTGAAGTTTGAATATAACAATCTCTCAACCTTGTTGTAATTTCCTCTGCTGTTAATTCTTTTTGTCATTATTACCAATTGCATGCTCATTTTCTATGTAAATTTTATCTTTGCTACAACCTCATTGTTTTTACTACCTCAACATCTTTCAGTGACCCATCCCTTCCTTTATGATGTTAGAAAATAGCTATACAGTTCTATCAGCACTATGTAAAAAACACTGAATGAAGATTTTGTGCAATTTGCAAAATATGAACCATTTTTACATGAAAGCAATATTGGCAAATGTACAAGCCCTTGAATCGGAAAATAAGGCCCTTTGACTGTTAAAAGATAAGCTATAAAAGCATAAAGTTACTTAGGTGATATCTAAATAATCAGATTTTTGAGCACTTCACCAAATAGTTTTTTACCTGAATTAATAAGTAAAAAGAGTCTTCCTCTCCTTAATTGCAGTGTGATGTGATCTCCGTTTGGCCCTTCCCTGTGGAGTAGAATCCCATCACTCTCCATGGTTTTGAATTTCAAAGAAATAATATCTTTTATTGGGCTCAGGGATTTTTGATCAAATCTGTAGAGAAGGGAACTTTTTCCATCAAGATCAACCACTTCTGATCCTAGAAACAAAGATATTAGAAGGCATTCGAAGGATAAATATCTTTTCCATTAAAGCATTTTAAATATATTGAGAAAAAGCAGCATATGGACTCACACACATGCTACAGATGCTCCTCAACTAATGATGGACTTATATCCTGAAAAACCCATCTTAAGTTAAAAATATTGTAAGTCTAAAATGCATTTAATACACGTAGCCCACCAAACCTCATAGTTTAGCCTAGCTTACCTTAAACATTCTCAGAACACTTACATTAGCCTATTGTTGAACAAAATCATCTAACACAAAAACCATTTTATAATAGGGTTGAATACCTCACGCAATTTACTGAATACTATCCTGAAAGTGAAAGACGGCATAGCTGGATAGGTACTTGAGGTGTGGTTTCTACTGAATGCATATTGTCTCTGCACTACTGTAAAGTCAAAAACCCATAAGCTGAATCTTTGTAAGTCAGGGACTGTCTTGGTAGTTCAGATCCTGACCATCAACAGTAAGGGAAAATACGACCACCAAACATCTAATTCCCTATTGACACCTGGGGTTGATTTCATTTTCGTCTTTACTAACCTGCTTACAAAATTCATGATCTAGAAATACATTTTTAAATGTACTCCTAAATTTCTCAAATGTACTCTTAAATGTACTAAAAAAAAATAATAATTTTTTTGAGGCGGGGTCTTCTTTGTCACCCAGGCTGGAATGCAGTGGTACTGGCACTGTCTCGGCTCACTGCAGCCTTGACCTCTGAGGCTCAAGCGACCCTCCCACCTCAACCTCCCGAACAGGTGGAAGCACAAGTGTGCACTACCACGCTCGGCTAATTTTGTTTATATTTTATGGAGATGAAGTCCTCATTATGTTGCTCTGGCTGGTCTCGAACTCCTGGGTTCAGGCGATCTGCCTACCTCAGCCTCCCAAAGTGCTGCGATTGAAGGTGTGAGCCACGGTGCCTGGCCATTTTCTCATATGATTAAAGGCTATTTCTTCTTATTCCGTTAAACAGAGTTATAATTAATATACGTTAAATCACTTTGCATATTTCACAATCAATGTTTTTCAATGGAGTTCTTGAAATTCTAAAGTTAATTTTTTTTTGGCTTCAGAAAAAGTGGTTTTGATATCTCAAATTCTTTCATCCATACAATATGTTAACGAGGTTTACACACACATATACACACATAGCAGAGACTCAGCAAATGCCACTTTGAGTACATATGAAACTGACCTTTGTGTTTTGTCTTATTTTATTACATTTGTGGCTAAGTGATAGTATTTAAGGGTAATACTATTTTCTGTCTTCTCAAGGACATTGTTGGAAAGACCCTGACTTAAGGATAAGGTCTGTTCTGTGGTATTTGTGTCATAACTGTGCCAATGACATGTTTTTTTTTTCAACTTTCTGACCGTGTCTTATCTACTTATTGTCAAAATCACTCTTATTCAGTTCATCTGAAAAAAGATGTCATGTTATACCAGTAACATAACAATACATCTGTCAAAATCAGTTGCACCTGAACAAGAGACATAAAAAAGAACTCATAACACTTGGAAATCCTGACAGTACTGCCTACAATTCATAAGTCAAAGTTTTCTTAAGGCAATTACCCTTGAGAGCACACTTATGTAATAAATGAAGAGGCTCAAAAAATATAATAAAATACGAAGCTATTTTTCAACTGGTAAGCTGGCTTCTTCCAGTCAACAAAATGACATTCCAGTTTACTCATCGTTTCATTTGACGAAATTATTATAGCTCCTTTAAGCCCAAATATGCATTTGATTCAGATTATTCATCATATTTTATGTGAAACGTCTATACACACCACCTTGCAAATTTTTTTCAACTATTTTACGCAGCCATCTTTTGAAGACTCAGAGGTTTTATTTTTTCACATTTTGCTAATGTGCTTATAAAGAATTCATTCACCAAGTGCACATGAATAAAGATTGCATTCTGTAGAAAGAATAATGTTAGCCTAACAATCCTTCCTTGTTACATAGCTGAATGAATGTGCATGGTAAAAATATAACTGTGTCATATACAAATAATGCATCCTATGATTATTAGATTACAATAAATTAAGAAAAATTCCAATAAAACAGACTTTAAATGCTGACATATTTGGAGCAATGCAGTTATCTCTGTGTTAATGTATCACTTAAAGGCAACTATGACAGTAACGATTTCATTTTAGATAAAGACTATTTTTGAAATTAGCTACCAAGAGAATTTTTCCAACTAAAGGTTTAGCTTGTGTTACTGTAGCCTACTAGTACTTTTTTTCTCTTTCGCTACTGTTATTATTACATTATAATGATGATATTTATCTTCTGTGGCACCTAAAGCTTTTGCGCCTGGAATATTTCAATCAGCAAAATGGCATAGAGGAAAACATATAAAACCATTGATGCCTAAAGCAATGGCATACTCTTAAACCAAAGCCACTTGCCATTTTCTGTCATTCTTACTGTCTACTTGCTTCACAGGTACACAACGACGCAATTCTATGAATTCATTCAATAAAACTTTATTTGACCCATCACATTTGAGTCAGTGTGCCAGATTCTGGGATTAAAAAAAAAAAAAAATCAACACAAATATGGCCCCTGTCCTCATGGTGCTTCCATTTAGTGAAGACAGATAATATTTATCAAGTAAACAACAAGGTTCATAAAAGCATTACAGGTTGTAACAGGCATTCTGATCAAGAGTAACAGAAGGCTGGAGTCACTTAAGGTAGTTGATAAACGGCTCTCTCAGTTCTCAGGTCTAGAAACACGAGGCAAAGGGAGATCTTAATCAGTAATCTTGCCACTCTCTACAGTCTTCAAGTCCTACAACTTGTCCCCATAAACTAGGATTACTCTTGGAACATTTAATTTCAAGAGGCCTAGACATTTTCCCAGCACTGTCCCATTCACTGTCATAAAAGAAAGCTCTGAGGATAGCTGAGAAACTAGAGTGCCAGGAAATAATTTAGTACTCAGAGTAGGAGTGAGGTTGGCTCACCTTGAAAAAGGGGACCTGAAAGGAACAAAGTACAGAAAGAGGGAAATCAACAAAATGGCTACAGTTACATCACAGATTTCCCATGCAGGTAAACAATACCCTTCAGAGAAAAAAAGCTAAGTATAATTCACAACGCGGGTACATTATCAGTATTGGAAAACTTCAAAGGATACACACATAATATATAGAAATAGATTCTCACAAAATGAAAAAAAAATTCTGGATGATTTTTAACAGTATTATTTTAGATATAACACTCATTGTAGGTCACTTTTTTCTAAGCAATTTTTATAAAAAGTTATTTGCACAAAGACATTTGATATACTTTAAAAAATCATCTTAAACAATTACAAAATACTGAGTTACGTGGCATAAAGTTAATCATATAAAAACCTGAAACAATTAATCTTTTGAGAGAGAGAGGGAGCATTTGAATTCTATATATTTTGGACAGCACCCAGCTGTCCAAAAATGCTGGTGACAGAGACAGGAATATAGATTCTCTTGAAAATGATCTTACCACTGTTAAGAAAAATTAGAAAAAAATGGAAATAAAGCAAAGAAATACTTCACATCTCCTCAGTGTCATATTTTTTTTATTTTTTTTTAAATAAAAAATGAAAAAAACCTTTACCTGTAAACAGGTAAAGATTATTTAATTCTAGGTGAATTAATAAATTCTGATTTTACAATTTATTGCAGAATAATAAATAAGGCCAGATTCTATAAATTTACACGTCATCTGTAGATTTTTGCTCAGTAGAGATGCAAATGGCTTCTGTCTGGTAGAATCTCCAAAAGTTATGGATTTATTGTCTTGTTGGGTATTAACTTCTTAAGTATCTACCGAGTAATATTATTCCAACCTGCTTTCCTGGATTCCTATATGTATACTCAATCTCTTGAATTTTCTTTGAAACTAGCTTTACCATCCTTCTGATTCTTTCATTAGTGAATCAAATACTTCTTTGATATATGTATATTCTGAATTTGAATGAAAATTATGTCTTCATGTTTTTGAAAATTTACTTTAACACTGTTAACTGAAAAAATACATTTGGACTTCACATCAACGACTAAGAACGCAACATATCAAATCTTAGCCATCACCAGAATTTATTTTCACTATTCCACAAAGATTCTCAGACATCTGAGCTCTTAAAAAAGCAACAGCAATGCAAATAGATACAAAAATAAAAAACTTCAGGGTGATTCATAGCAATATGTATTTGTATTGTACTAACCTATAAAAGATCTAATATGAGTAAACAGAACTACCAAAATTAGTACAAATCAATATTTACTTCAGAAACACTAAACTAAGCATCCAAAATAAAATTAATATTTAAATTGACAGTCAATATCATATTTATTCCTATCTTTTGTAAATACCTTTGGGAAAATTTTTAATATTTATTTATTTATTTATTTATTTATTATTGACAGGATCTCCCTCTGTCACCTAGGCTGCAGTGCAGTGGCATAATCTCAGCTCACTGCAGCCCTGATCTCCTAGAGTCAAGTGAACCTCCAACCTCAGCCTCAGCCTTCCAAGGAGTTGAGACTACAGGAATTTGCCACCATGCCCAGCTAATTTTTCTGTATTTTTGGCAGAAATGGGGTTTCTCCATGTTGCCCAAGCTAGGAAAATAATCTTTTGTACACAGTTGAGTTGTATAAATAGGAAAAGTATAGGTATTAGAAAACTCTCCATAGGAAAAATGTGAAATCTGAACCTAACAAAATTTTTAACAGCAAAAGACCTACAGTCTAAAGATGTAAAAGGAGACATGTTGCTTGATTGAAATCAATAAGAATTATTTTTCTAACAGTGAATTTGTTAATTAGTATTCTTATTAACTGAGGTTTTATATATTTACATATATATTATACATATTTTACATTCTATATTTTTAATGATTGGGTTATTATCAAGATTAATAATGTGGCTCTGTCATATACTGGCTCACTATGGGCAGGGTATG